ATTGGTGGTCCGGGTGACGGCGGGCCGGGCGATGGGCAAAACAATGGATCAGATGGCAACGGGACAGACGTCAATGGAACAGGCGGACCAGGCGGACCAGGTGACGGACCAGGTGACGGACCAGGTGACGGGCCAGATGACGGGCCAGATGACGGGCCAGATGATGGGCCAGATGGTCCTGGGCCGGGCCCAGGACCAGGAGATGGTCCTGGCACAGGTGACGGACCCGGGTCGGGTCCTGGTTATGGCTACGGCGGTTTCCCACGCAGACTAGAAGATCCTGTAGAGTCGCCGGACACAAGTGCAGTTGCTGGTTTTGGCGAAAAGTCGATCTCGTCCTCGGGCCAGACAACGTACACCTGGTCCGGCCAACTCACGGCATCACCAGGGCAATACCGGCTTTGCTGGTGTGGAGGTGTTGGCGGGACCACTTGCGAGGACAATTTCGATAACTTCGCAACAGATGTTGGCGCAATCACGGTGCTGGGTCCATACAGCAACCAGAGATTCGCCTGCACGAAGGGTCACTTTTGCCGCAACCAGGGTCCTGTACTTGGTCTCGGGCTGACAGCCGAAGACCTTGTCCACATTCGCGTGGCCTGCACTCTGGATCAAGCGCAGTTTTTTGGGCTGGAGTTGGATGTCAGGGCAGAGAACAACACCGACAGCGGAGAGGTGGAGTTATACCTGTCCTCGTCCTATCCAGTTGTCCAGGCGTCCGCGGAGTATGCCTTGTGCTGGTGCTCATCTGTCGGCCAGAGCTGTGCCAGCATGACAGTCGAAAACGTCGCTTCTGCCACAGACTACCTTGAAGCACAACTGGCCTGGTTGGAGGTTCACGGGCCGCCCACCGGAGAAGAGGCAGAGTGCGACCAGGGCCAGGGGTGCGTTGTTACCTTCAGCACAGAAAGCATTGGCTTATTGGGAGGTGACCGAATTTCTGTGCTGGAGCAATGCGGTGAGGGAGACTTTCTCGAAGGCTTGCCTTTCCCAGGGTATGCAGAGACAACAGAGGGCATGGCTTATAGCTTCAACAGCAATGCATCTGTGGACGAGAACGGCAAATACTTGATGTCATCACCGGGCATTTTCCGGCTATGCTGGTGTCGTCCAGAACCTTCGCTGTCCTTGTACTGCGACAGCGGGCCCGACTTCAATGTTACAGTTGGCCTCTTCCGCTCCGTGGGACCCTATGCTGGCCAGGAACTGCATTGCGCCTTTGGAGCTTCGTGCCTTGTGACAAGCTTACGAGGTATAGGCCTCTCCGCACAGAACCTCTTGTTGGCAGTGGCAGACTGTGGAAGTGCAAACACGACCATCACTTTCCCTCAGCCACAGGCTGTCTCATCCTCTTACAACACAGATGGCAGCTATTTCTGGAACCTCGGAGACTTGCAGCTCCAGGCTTCCAGGCCCGAGCAGCTCTGGGTTTGCTGGTGTGCAGGTGGCTCGGCATGTACCGAAGCTTCTGCCTTTCGTGTCTATGCCATGGTGCTTTACGTTGAATGCCCTCCTGGCTGGTATGAGCTGCAAAGTGCAACAGTTATCTGTCACGAGTGCCCTCCGGGCTTTTACTGTGAAGGTGGCTATCCGGCCGAGATACAGAAATGTCCTAACGGAATGACGAGTTTGCCCGGGGCCGGGAGTCTGGAGGAATGCGTCTGCCGTCGCGGTTATTTCTGGAACGGTCAGCTCAGCGCTTGCTTCGCTTGCCCGAACGGCGTTTTCCAGAATGTGACAGGCAGGTTAACAGCCTGTGCCGAAGAGTGTCCGCCCCAGACTTCGTCAAACGGCGGGGCGGCCAGTATTGCGGAATGCTTTTGTGCCGGAAGTGCTGTAGATGTTGACCCGACTCCGGAAGGCTTTGATTGCGTGGATTTGCTCGATCTGGCTGATAACTTCAGTAACAGTTCAGCATTCGCTGCCAGGCAATCTGATTTGTACACCTTCTCCGGATCCGTGCAAGTGCTAGATGCATCGACTGAGGAGCTGCTTGAGAGCATCAAGGCTGAAGTGTCCGATCTACTGGAGTTGAATGGCGCACGTGCGTCCTTCAGCTTGCAAGGGCGTCAGGCTGGAAATTGGTACGTCGATTACGAAGTCTTGAGCCCCGACGACGAGCTGGCGGAAATCATGAGAGGTAGACTGGAGCCTATGTCCTTCTCTGCGTGGGTGTACTCCGACATGGAAGGCACGGTGCTAGCATCTGCAGTGGCTGGCAACGAAACGCTTGTGCAGCGCACAGTGCTTCAATGCCCCGAAGGTTTGGGTATCAAGGCGGGGTCCTATGTGACCGGGTTGGCCGATTGCCAGTGCCCACACGGGACACAGCCTGCCGTTTCTGGGAGCACCGGTTTGCTTTCCGGTTGCTCCAGTTGCCCCATTGGTACATACAAATCCTTCGTTGGGGACTCGACTTGTACTTTTTGCCCATCAAAGGGTGATCCCTTGACCACACTTCAGGAAGGTGCGATTTCCTATGCGGCTTGCACCTGCTCAGCTGGATTCGTGAACGTAGACCCTGAGGATCCTGCAGACTGCGCTCCCTGTGGCCAGGGCTTTTTCTGCACCGGAGGAAAGCACAGGCAGGCTTGTGGGTCGTCGCAGTCAACACAGGGCGAGACTGCCAGCAGTCAGTCGGACTGCTTGTGTCAGGAGGGCTTCACAAGCACAGGCACCGGTGCTTGTGATGCATGCTCGCCTGGCAAGTTCAAGGAGGAGATCGGGAACTCGCCCTGCGTGGATTGCCCCGCAGGAACTTATTCGGAAGAGGGAGCAGATGAATGTGATTCCTGTTACAAAGGAACGTTTTCCACCGGTGGTATGGGCATGTGCGAGCCGTGCCCCGCTGGGCGCTACTCTCCTGACGAAGAAGCCACTTCCATAGACTCATGTGCTAGGTGTGAGATTGGCAGGTGGAGTGATGAAACTGGGGCCTCCGACAGAAGCACATGCGTGCCATGCCTCGCCGGGTCCACGACTATACAGGCCGCTTCACAAAATGAAAGTTCTTGTGTCCGACCATACCCAAACCAACTCGCTGAATGCATCTCTGGTAGAGCTTGCACTCTGGACGGGATCATGGGTTTCGGCCTTCAAGACGGGCATCGCATAGGACTGGCTTCAACAGACTGCAGTTCCGCAAAAGTGGCAGTGCCGAACATAGAAGGCGGGGGAATCTCAGACCTGGCCATCGCTGGTGGTAGCCAACATGTACTCGGAGATGAGCCTGACGAGTTTGCGCCGCAGGGAGGCTACTACAACATGTGCTGGTGTGCGAACATGGCGGACCTGTCTTGCGAAGACTTGAACAGCAACTACTTGATATCTGCTGGGCAACTTCATGTCATCGGTCCGAGTCAGAATCTGTTGCAATGCGTTCGTGGCCGGGACTGTGCCAATTTGGCGCCTTTCGTCGGTTTTGGTTTGTCTGGCAGTGATTCTGTGGTCGTTCAGCGTGACCAATGCGGACTGACAGGGCTTGCGCTGTCTTCAGTGAATCGTGATGGTTATGGCAATCTGTCGGTTCCAGAAGCCGTTAATGCAAGCCATCTTGTGCTGGGCTTTGGCATCTCAGATGCTTCCAACAGCTATCATCTTTCCATCGATGCGGATGATACAGGATATGCATTGTGCTGGTGTGCAAATGATCGCGGCTTGACGGATGCCTGCACAAGCCCAGAAGACCATCTAGTCTTCGCTGGCCGTCTTCGGGTGGTAGGTCCCCGCACAAACCAAGAGAGTGAATGCTTCGTGGGACAGGAGTGTGCTGTTACAGGCATTCGGGGTGTTAGCATGGAGGCAGGAGATCGGCTGATGATTCTGTCCAATTGTGGCACAGGAACCGCATTGCCAGGTTTTCCGGGTGGTGGCATCATGGTAACCACCGATGGCTCCAGTTTCGAATTCATGACCACGACCATCAGCTTCCTCCTGTCAGTGCCGGGGATTTTCCGAATCTGCTTCTGCAGGCCGTCACTTGTTGAGGTGTGCACTGCCACTTCCAGCTTTCAGGCTGCTGTTGGGCTGATGACAGCGAGTGGCCCGTTTGAGCAAACAACCACCTGTGAGATGAGTGCCCTGTGCACGGTGCAGTTGTCCGGAATCGGTCTGATGGGCGGCGATCGGCTGCTGTTTGCTCCGGGTGAGTGCGGCAATTCCAGTAGCATTGGATCTCTTGGCTTTCCCAATATGGAGGACCCCCTGATTGTGGAGGACTCGAGCATGGGGTTGCAGGTAAACTTAGGAGAGCTACCCGCAGACGCAGTACCCGGCTTCTACAGAGTATGCTGGTGCCCGCTGGCTGCAGACTGCACTTCGACATCGGCATTTCGAGCTCCTGCGGGCTATCTGCAGGTGAACTGCCCAGCAGGCACCTTTGCAACGGGTCCCGCCTCAGGCTGGTTCCGTGCGTGTTTCCAAGACGCATGGCTTTTAAGACAGGCATTAGGATCTCGCAGGGTGGAAGGCGGCAAAGGTCAGGAGCACCTCGGGGGGTTTAGAGTCTGCCGTCTGTTCTCAATCCCGAAGAAAGACCACAGAGAGAGTGTGAGAGCCAGAGAAAGACAGACACCTTGGAAGCTATCAGCTAGCTTGCAGCGGCTTGTCCAGAAGGGTGTCGTATTGCAGTGA